GGTTTTTGCAAAACTAAAAACCGCACCGTCGGTTTTCATTTCGGTTTCGGTTTTTCGGTTTCGGTTTATGCGGGTTTTTCGGTTTTTTCAGTTTACGGTTCGGTTTTTGCTCACCCCTAGATCACAGTACCTGATTTAACTCTTACACATTGAGTTTATGGTTGTATATATGATGTGGACAGTTTGAGGTTTCCGAGATTCAATATCGAAACCTTATCACATTGTCAATGTGTGACTCCAACCATAGGAATCAGTGTGATCATTTGTTTTATCTTGACCTTAATCATGTTACCCATAACTAACTGAGCTACCTCTTGAAGGCCAAAAATGTCATAATAAAAAAAATAAGTGCAATATAATTGCTTATATCTGTCGAAATATAATGTGTTAAAAAGAAACAACAGAATAATCCGGATAAAAATAGAATATTCTAATATACCATAGAATATAATACGTTTTATTTTTTATAATAAGCTTTTCCAAGTAGAGGAGTGTTCTCAATTTTAATACGTCGACGGCCATGATGAGCAAATAAATTGGTAGCATGTGTCCATAAACTTGAACCTAATAAGTAATACCTACCACATTGTTGTCATCCCTCTAGAACATATATATACTTCCCTACCAAACCCCATTTTATAATATATACAAATACAAACAAATCCCAAAAAGCTATCACATAGGACTCATTAAGAACAAACATGGCCACATCTCCAGTCAACCATGTCTTCTTCACTACCATATTCATTCTCATCGCCATAGCCACCGTCTGCCGATCAGTAAGCTAACCGGCCAACCCTCACCAATTCATACATCCACTAACAGTTTTTGTTAATCATATATTGCAGGATGATCCAGACTGCGTGTACACCGTCTACGTACGAACTGGTTCCGTCTGGAAAGGTGGAACGGACTCCAAAATAACTCTGACACTATATGATGCAGCTGGCTATGGCATAAGGATCAACGACATCGAGGCTTGGGGTGGCTTGATGGGTTCCGACTATGATTACTTCGAGCGGAGCAACCTCGACATATTTAGTGGCCGAGGACCATGTTTGACCGGACCACCTTGTGAGATGAATTTGACGTCGGATGGGACCGGAGATCACCATGGATGGTACTGTAACTATGTAGAGGTCACCACCACCGGAGCTCATACACCGTGTGCGCAGCAGGAGTTTACCGTGGAGCAGTGGTTGGCCACAGATACTTCGCCGTATGAACTGACGGCCATCAGAAACTACTGTGAGTATTCTTCCACCCGTCGCAGAGTCGGTGGTGGCCACGTGATACTGGAGTCCAATTCTTCGTCTGTCCTTGGGATGCGAAAATAAATGGGGTTGGTAGAGGATTATGTTTTAATAATTATTATGTGCAGAAAGGTGACTTGTTACGTTGTATGCCACTTGTTTGCCAATAGTTTGGGGCCCAATAATTTAGAATAAGATCCAACATAGTTGGTTTGAAAAGAAATGGGTTAAGGTAATATCAATGTTTTTTTAACTAGTTTATTGTACTTTTTATATATTTACTAAGTTGGTATATTTAATATATATCTTGCTTAAGGTATGAGGTAACTTATTGACCAAATTAAATACATTGGCATGGCAGCTTAGTAGCAATGAAATGATATGTTTATATATATTTTGCTATATATGAACATTTTTAATTTACAACAAAATACCAATTTGGGTTGTTTTCCACTTTTCCTTCCTACGTGGCTTAACTTTTTTAGGCTGAAAAAAATAATAATAATAATTAAAAAAAAAACTATAATGGAACTTTTATCAGATTAACTCCTACACAAAGATCGAGAACAGTAAAAGACGTCCAAATTTCCGGTTAAATGATCTTTTATCGGTTTCTTTTGAATAATGTGGAAATTGATGTTGCTTGGCTGATGACATGGAATGTCCACGTCATCAATTTCACTTTAAATAAACCTTTTTGGACTAAAATAAGTTTATTGCCTTCATTATCTTCATATCTTTGGTAGCTAGGTCGATCCTCTTCTTCAAAATCAAGCTCCAAGTTGATCAAATACATCTCCAACACCTCATACACATTCTTCAAAACTAATGGGTAAATCTTGTGTTTTGAGGAAGCGCATTATATGTCATTGTTCAAGATGTCACGTTGATTATTATAAGGAATCAAAAAGATAATTTAACCGGCAAGGTAGACAAAATTAATAGGAAAATATCAATGTCATGATTTTAATGTACAGTTTGTTTCCCATAAGAATCCCAATGATAGATTTGTGTATTTCTGCCATTGGATTTACAACCAATAAACCTATGTTACTAACCATTTCGACAAAAAACTAAACAGTTCGTTTCAATATATATTTTTTATCATTCACGATTTAATTACAAAAGGTTTTTCTTATAACGACCACATAAGATCATGTGTATTTTTATGTTTTAACTAATAACAAACTAAACTATATAACTTTATAACATAAAAACACTAAATATGAAATATAAAATTTACGAACTTTCAAACTATCCATGAAAACATGCCAATACTAATATTTAACTATTAATTATAGAGTTTTTTTTTTTTAAATTACCAATTTTAATGTGTTTGGCAAGATTTCCTATCAAATAACCACTTCTTTTGCATAAAATAAAGGAAACGAACTTTCAGAAAAATACCGGATCACTGGTTCAAAATTGCAACTCAACACATAACAAGCACAGCACATATGATTGCACAACTCAGCATCCAAGTATTTCTCAATTATGAAATGGCATGCCACATAAGCAAAGGAGGAAAATAAATGATCTAACATTAGAACCATAATTTCAAATGTAGATCCAACATTTTTTACCTTTTTACCAGAAAGCAATAGCATGAGATAAGATACGTTGTGATAACTACTCATTAGAATCATAGTTTGGAAAAGGTGACATAGTTTAAAAGAAGCATGATAATGATAAGGAGGTAGAAGAAAGATGTATAATAAGTAGAAGAAGATCAAAGGCCTAAGCCAACAGTACGGCCATCTCTGCGACGAAGGCCAGCAGTGTACTGTTTTTCCAAGTCGATCTGCAGCTCTTTCTGCTTCTCTGCAAGAGTGGCGTCTGAAACATCTGGTTTGGGGTCCACTTTTACACCCTACAATTGGCCATATGTACCAATACAACCTCAGACTCTAAAACATGTGTCAGTATCATCAAACACCTATTGTGCTGTGTAGTGCAGTGGATAAATAATAAAAAGAACACAAGAAAGAAACCAACAAGTAAAAGTACCATGAGTTTCTTGAACTTCTCTTGTCGTTCCCGATCAGAGAACATGGATGTGTCCCACTTGTGACCACTCTGCATTCATACATATCCCAATCAACAAAAATAAATATAAACTTGGTATTTTGGGAAGAAATGCGTATGTTTGGACTTTGGTTACCAAATCATTATTTCTAAGCAACTGTATAATATGCTTCATCAGAATACTTCTTATGGATTACAAGATTCAAGCATGTAGGAAAAAATTAGCAAACATATAATCAATCATAGTATACCTCTTCGGTAGCTGTGCTCTTCTTACTCCCCCATAACAGCTTCTTCTTTTGGTCAGTTGACATGATGCCCGTTCCAATCAGGTTTCTATTCACTGATCAACAGATAATTCAAAAAGGGAAATACAAATCAAACAAGCACGACTCAAAACATAATCCTTAGAACCATAAGATTATATATATATACATACCTAACTCTGCAGCCTTCATTGCAGCTATTTTTGCAGCATCTATATCAGAATCCTTCACGAACTCTTGCTCTACAGTCGCTTTACCAACAAACTCTTGACCATGTTTTGAACTTGAAGACTGGACTTCATTGGCAACACCCACATGCTTTGAACCTAAATTAAATATTCAAAGTTATAAAACAGACCCAACTTCAGAATTGGGTCCCAAAAAAAAAAAAAAAAAGTCAAAGTCAAAGTTAGTTACCTGAATTACCATCCCTGCTGAACTCTGGATCTTTATCCATGCTAAACATTGACTTCCTTGCAGCTAAAACAGTTTTATCATCAACTAGCTCTTTAGGTTCCTTGAAATGTCGGTCCTTAAGTTCCCTAGCCTCCTGATTGTAGGACTTTCCCTTTTCAAACCTTCCTCCATATTTGGTGTCATCAAGCTCCTTAGAATCCCTCCAAGAAGTGTCTTTATGATGATGATGTCCGGATCGATGTCCCCTAGACTCCTCAAAAGTAGGTAATGATTCACTTTTCCCACCCTTGGAAGCTCTTGGGTAGTCTCTTTTTTCATCCCTTTTGTCCCTATCCCTACCTCTATGTCCTGAACCATCTGATCTATCTCGGGAGTATTTATCACTATAGCTGCCCTTATGAAAGCTTTTCTGATCTTCATCTGCATACTTGTCCCTTCTTTTATGATCATCATGCCTACGATCATTATAAGATCTTCGATCAGAATGTCTGTTTGAATTTGAACTGCTGTAACGGCTTCTTTTGTAATCCCTATTGTCATCCTTCCTTTGCAAGGAATGGGTGGGGGTAGAACTACGGTCACAAGCGGGCTCCACTGAAAATCAAAACTGTGTCATTATCTTGTATCTTGTTGTTCAATGTAAAAGCACCCAAAAGAAGGAGTTCATAATCATGACAAAACTCATAACATTTCATAGAAAGAAAACTAACCATCAGAAGAAGAAGAGCCACTCACTGGAGACCTACGGCGATACTTTCTGTTGGAAGAATCATTTGAAGGCTTATGAAATGCTGCTTTAGCTCCATCACTATCCATAGGAGAATGCAAGTCCGAATCCATATTGGCTGATGTCATATAGCACCAAATTGCATCAGAAAGTGTACATACACAGTAATCTTCTCGATAGTGTGATGTTAGATCAAACCATATAGCACCAAAATTGCATTAGAAAGTTTATAGCTCTCAGCAGGGTATAAATACAATGTCAAAATGATTAATATACCTGTAAATTAATTTTGGTATAATGTTCTGATACTTGTCATAAACATAGTATCCTGTAATCACAAGAAATGCACAGCTTTTTTAATCATTCCATCTAAAGTTCTTCATATTAAGACTGTGTTCATAGATAAATCTACAAAACGTACGATGTAGCTTGACAGCTATTTTCACTCATGGATGCTTAGACATAAAACCGTTTGAGAAGACGAGGATCTTGCCTACCTAAATTCAAGATGTTTGAGATTTAATCAAGGCAATTTAGTTCTACAGGGGCTTCTTAAAAACATTTTAGCAAAGCTCGACCGCAGGCTCTTGAATAGTTACCATGTTTTATAGTCGAGCCTGTAAGCCAGTTTACAACCAAAATTTCCATTGAACTTACAATAAACTGTTCAAACAAGACAGACTGAAATACTCAAAGAACCAACCAAAGCCGTACAGTTAACTCAATAGCGCAAAAAAAATTAATGGATCTACGCTCTGTGAATCTAACATACGCACATACCGACAAAAACCCAAATTAATAATCAAATAAAGGTACCTAGTTGGTGAACGATGTCAGACAGAGGCGAATGGCAACGGTGAAGGAAACAGAAGAGGAGACGGGCGGTGGTGGAGAATTCCACGGCGAGAGGAAGGACGGAGGGTGTGGATTGCTAGGGTTCTTTGTTTGGACTTCGGAGTATCGTTTCGATTAAATTCGACGACAGATTGGCTTTCCCTTTTCCTCAGTTTTAATTTTAACTAACTAAAGAGTAAGTTACAGTTTTGGTCCATGGGATTTGGTCAAAGTCTCACTTTTTGTCCCAGATCAAAAACAATTGATAGAATGCATCCTTATGGTTGGTAAAAGTTACACAGTGGTATAAAAAGACTGATTTATCCTTTCTATTTTTTATTTTTTATTATACTTATTTACAATTCTTTTAAATATAAAAATAAAAAAGGTTATACCTTACCGCACCCAACCCCAACTCACTCCCCATCTTCTTTATTTCCCTCCAGAACAATCATCGTCACCCTTATTTCACCTACAAAAAGCACCATCACCATCTTCAAATCCTCTTCCTTAATTTCATTTCTCTTTCTCTCTGTTCATTACGTCTAATATCCGTGGTCTTGAAAACACACCAATATTTTTAGGAAAAAAAAAAGGAAACAACCTGTAACTTGTTCCAGTAAATTCATTAAATCCGACTACTTTTATACACCACAACACCCCTATGGATTTTAATCATAAATTCATAATCGCATCTCATTTTTTCCATATTTTGATCTCATAACTCGTGATTGACCATCTTTATAAAACTTTTGTTAGGGAATCAGATGATACTTGCAAAACTCATAACAAATTTGATGCCACTTGTCAAGTTCTGATGACCCTTGTTAGGAAGTAGTGCGGATAACAAGCAAAACTAAAAGCACACAAAGACACGGTATTTACGTGGTTCGGTCAAGGTGACCTACGTCCACGTGGAGGAGGGGGTATTCTTTATTTCAGAGTTCTCAAACAGAGGTTACAAGTACAATTCACCGGAGATTCTTTCTACTCACTAAGGATTACAATATACAAAACACTTCAAATGACTAAGCATGCATTCCTAGTTATAGTTGAGGGATCAAACCTAAAACCCTAATGGGCCAAGCCCATTGGCCTATTGGGCCATAAAAGGTGACAACCAATCATATTCCTCCATGCAACATCTTCTAGAACATTCTTCCATTTCATGCAACCCATGAGCATCAACAACACACATAATCGACCACCTTGACCATAGTGGAGCAACATAATACACAGGTGGAGCACCATGATCACTAATGGCCCATCATCCATCATGATGGCACAACATGGTGTATTTCTTGAGCATCGTCATCTTCTAAGCATACGTGGATCAATATGGCACAACAAAGGAATCAAGATGGTGCATCATGTACCAAGATGGTCCATGATGGCGCAACATCTCCTCCATGGTGCAACTTCCCTTCTTGATGGAGCAAAATCATCTTCATGGCTCAACATCACCTTGGCATAACTTCAGACATAATGGCGCATCATGTTATCATTTGGCGCAACATCCCCAAGGATGGCGTAACTTGCTTCTACATGGTGCAACATGATATTCCATGTTGCTCCAAGTGTTCCAAGTTGCTCTATGTTACTCCAAGTGATCCATGAGAATGCTCCAAATGCTCCATGAAAATGGTCCAAATGCTCAAATCACATTTAACAATCTCCACCTTGACTTGAGCATCCTTTGAGTTCTACCTCAAATAAGAACTTCCTCTCCATTCCTGCCATCAAGCCCCGAAGGGGCTTACCTCCTGCGAACATCAACCAAGTCTAAGCAAAGCTTGAACTTCTCTCTGGGCAAGGTCCTTGTCACCATGTCTTCCGGATTCTCCTTGGTACCAGACTTTTGAATGCATAACCTGTCATAGAACATAATAGGTTTCTTCACCTTCAAAATAAGACTTTGAACAAGACCAACCGCCAATGATCTTATCTCAAAATGTAACGTCCCGAAAATCATAGGGTAAAATTTTCATTTTTAACATATATTTAAACATTCAATTATCATTTATTCAAGCATTTAGAAGTATTTCAAAACAAAACAATTATCAGAGTTCATTCCCAAAATCATGATTGCGGAAAACACGAGTATAAGCGCTGCGATCAAGTCGGGCCCTTCCCTTTCGAACCGGAGGTACCTGAAACCATAAACCACAAACTGTAAGCACAAAGCTTAGTGATTTCCCCAAATACCACATATCATACGAGCCATACATATCAAACATACATTAGGAAGTGCTATGTTCCAACCATAGTCTTGTCATTATGCCATGAGTCGTATCATGGTCTTTTTTGCCAAGTCGGGGTCCAAAACCCAATGTCTTATAGACAAGTGCCAGGAGCCACCTCCTGGTCTTTCATACAAATGCCAAGGGTAACCCCCGGGTATTCCTATAATGCATAAACCAAATGGGCTGGCATTGGTGCCTTCGACCCATAATACAGTGAGGAGACTCACCTCAAACGACAAACAAATCCCACAATTGTTGCGAACAGGCTTCCACAAATTGAACTAAACAACCAAACCATTTGTTAATATTTAACCATGGCTAAACCCCAGGCACTAATCCCATAAACAGGGTCCAACTACCCAAAATCATTGGGCCCACTAAGACCCAATACAAAATCCTAGGCCCAACAAGGCAAACCTAGACAAGAGTCCAAGACTCTAAAATTCCTCTGTCCAAAAAGCCCAACACATAAAGCCCAAACCCAAGTCCAAAGCCCAAATCATGAACAAGCCCAAAAGTCCACAGTTGAACGTACGTGGGGCGTACCCCTTGGTACGCTCAGCGTACTCGATGATTTTGGACAGGATCTCAAACCAATACGTGGGGCGTTCTTGCATGTTACGTGGGGCGTAAAAGCAATTTTCTAAAACTTAAACTATGACTTAATCCTTTAAGTCCTTTGCATTTAAACCTCAGAAAACCTTCAATATAAGTCCTTAACTGATAAAGTTGGCAACTTTATCAGTTTGCATATCTTAATGGAACCCAACTTCCAAATATAACCATTAAGACCCATATAAAGCACCTTAACACATGCATGGTCCATTCTTAAACATCAAACAAGCATTTTTATGAACTAACAACATCATAAGGGGCAAGATCTATCACTCCAAGCTCCTGGAGTGGCTCAAACTCACAATGAGAACTTAATACACCATAAAAGCTCCTAATCTTGCCCTAAACTCAAACTAGCATACTAAGAAGTCAAGATAAGAACTTTTTACCTCCTGAAGCTTCCCAAGAGTGTGGAGGTTCTGGATCTACAACCCCAAGGCCACACCAAGCTTGATCACCAAGATCCATTTCCTTGAAATAACACCAAGAACCCTTCAATACCACCTCCAAGCTCTAGAATACACCACCAAGGGAATTAGGGTTTGAAATGAGGCTCTAAGATCAGTGGAGGCTGAGAAATGAGAGACCCTTGATGTAATAGCCCAAAAATTCAGATAAAATTTTTCATTTAATAATTAGAAATCTCATTCATATTTATTTTTCCAAAATTACGTTACATAAACACGTTGCTCAAAAGATCAGAGTATCCAAAACAACTAGTGCGGAAATACTGGAGAGTGCATGTTGCGCCATCAAGCTGGGCCCTTGCCCTTAGAACCAGAAGTACCTGAAAAAACCAATAAGACTGTAAGCACACGCTTAGTGAGTTTCCCAAAATACACAAAACACATAACCACATAATGTCATGCACATATATACATAGATTTGCAATGGACTCCCTCCATGGTCTTCATCTGGAATGACATGGGCTACCCCATGGTCTTACATCCAAGGGTCATGGGCTCCCCCTCATGGTCTTACCAGGTGCCATGGGCTCCCCCCATGGTCTTCACATAAGTTAATACATATCGAATCACAAAACCATTGCATATTTAATTATTAAAATCTCATATCAAGTAACGGGTCGGTATTGGTGCCTTCGACCCATTGGTATAGTGAGAAGACTCACCTCAGTCTGCTGAAAACAATTATTGGTTAACTACCAACCAAAGCCTTACATTGAATAAATATACAAATACCATAATTAGGATTATAACTCAACCTAATCAAACAGCCCAAAATTCTAAGTCCAAGATCCTCCATAATGGCCCAAAGGTCATTCCTTCACTAATGGGCCCAGCATAAAAGTCCAATTCTATATTGGGCCACAAGGCCCAATAGGCCCAAACATACCAACATTGGCCCAAAGATAATTTTAGGCCCAAACACCAGCAACTCTAGGCCCAAATCCATTATGGCCCACAGGTCCAAAGTCCGCCAAGGCCCAAAGCTTCCTGAGAGCATACTGTTAGGTTTTGGTATAATACAACATCTTATGGTGCACATACAACCCTAAATACCTTGGATCTATGTTTTCACTAATTATACATGCAAATGGTTTCCAAGGTATTGAACCTATAGCTAGCATGCAATTGTCATACAAACTACATAAAATACTAGATAATGTAACATACCTTTTTGTGTGGCTGGAAGTCTTGATGTATTTGGCCTTAAGAACTTGGCCCCAATAGTGTGGAAGCCTCAAATGAAGTCACAACACATCAAGGACAAAGGTAGGACTTGAGAGAGAA